AAAAACCTTAAAAAAAAAAAAAGCTAAAAATAAGAGTATATCCTGTATGATTCCAGTTAATGCAAATGTTAAAATATGAAAAACTAATTTACAGTATTAGAAATCAGATCAAAATTTGTCTGATGGGAAGTCTCACTGGGAAAGGGCAGCAGTGATCTTTATGGGGGTTGGAAATGTTCTGTAACATTGATAAACATTTCCCAAAACAGACTGAAAGTTTACTTAAGATAGGAGGACTTTGGGACCAGCAATTGGCATAATGGCTATGGCACTGGACTCCCATGGAGTCGACTGTGGTTTGAGTCCTGGACCTGGTGGCTTAAACTCACACCAGGCATGTGTGCATCCATGCTCAAGATCCCGACAAGAGAACGGAGGAGAAGGAATTGTGGCGTGGCCATACCCCCTAGGGGGTGATTTCTCACTTTCTATCTCTTTCTAGCGAGTGCACATGCCCTATAGCAAAAATCTCTATTAAAAAAATGATAGGAGGACTTCACTATATGTTATCTTAATACAAATTATTGTTCAAAATATTGTTGAGCTTAGCTGGAATGTATACTAATGTCCATTATACTATGTTTTCAGCTGTTGTGTTTAAACGTCTCAGAATAAAAAGTTAGGAAATAAAAATGTAAAGAGCCTTTGAAATAGTTTCAGTAAAGGTTAAGACCAAACACTATCTGCAAAGTGTAAAGGAGGGAGGAAATGTGATTAGAAATAGGTGTATGATTGCAAAAGAAGGTGGACTGAAAAATCATCTGAGAAACTTGCACATAGTTACAGGAGAGAGGAAGTAATCAGTGTAAAGCAAATGAGAGATGTTAAAGTTAGTAAGGTCTGATGGGTTCAAATAGAGGAAGGGAAAGGATTAAGACAGGTGTTTATAATTAAATACAATATTTCATTCATGGTTCAATGAGGTTGAATACTCTTCTAAAATTACTGGGATGTATTCTATCTTATTTGTTGTTTATCATTTGTTTAGCCAACTGTTTAGATACAAAAGGTGTATTAATTTCCTCACAATGTAAATTTATAAAGTATATTCATATATCATATTTAATCCTATAACATCTTGAGATCAGGTATAATAATTTGTTTTATAGATTACAAAAATTAGGTTTACTGAAGTTAAACAGCTTATAAATGGAAAATCCACTCTTGAGATTTTTGACTTTATATAGTATAATCTTAGGATACCAGAATCACAATACTTCTAATGAGTCTTCTAATTAGGGCCATGTTAAGAGGATAGCTTAGCCAGGTAATTGCCTAGAGACTCAATCCATAAAGAATGTTAAAATATTTTAACATTTAAAATGTAATGATAAAAATGAAATTTCTTTAGTGGAAGAGTTCAGTAAGTGGATGGAAGTGTACTTTGATATCTGGCTTATCATGGGTATATCTCCCTCCTTCACCTCTACTCAACAGGAGTATATTATGCCACGTTATAAGAAGTTGGATCCAAGTAAGTGCAGGGTTCTTTTTTTCCCCCATTGAGGCATTTTATTTGTATGTGTGTGTTACATTCCTAGAAAAAGAATCCCAGGGTTTTCCCTCCTGTGTTTCTATCTTGCTTCTTCATGGTCCATTACAGCTGAGGTTTCAGCACAATGAAACCAAACTGCTGGGACAGGAGACTATTTGGCCATTTTTCTAGATCTTTGAGTTGTACATCAAATCTGGGGCTGATCACTCCACACCTGTTTAACGGGCCTGTGAGACTCACAAAAATGTTTCCAGTTCTGTGGTCACTGATGACTTCAAAGGTGCCAATGTAATCATGCTTCATCATCACAGTTAGAAACTGGACAATTACTTTGGAGCATGGCCTACTATGAACTTGGTGTTTGCCTTTTTCTGGCATTGTTGATGTGCTTGAGAGCATCAGTCACAACAAGCAAGTGCACCATTATGGTGGCAGGAAAGACAGCAGAAAGAATTAGGGATTTCTTTTCGATGAGTAGGATATACAAATCTGAACCAGAGCTCAACTGCTCACAGCAGTTGAGAGCTATCCTTCTCAACGCTTATACTCTGCATTTACTTTAAACAATATTAAGGAATACAGTTTAAAAACAAGTGAAAATAATAATCTGGTTTGGGGAGATAAACTGTATCCTAATTCAGAACTGTTTTGGTTGTAACTAATAGAAAACCCAACCCAAACTATTTACAGCAGAGCAAAATTGGCTCAAGAAAACAGAGGAGTACAGGAGGGTGAGTCAAAGTCAGCCGAGTATTTTTTTCATGTGTGTATGAACTTTGTTCACAAGAAATATGGGCCTTCAAATTGGCTCTTCTAGTAGAAAAATGGTTGGTATTCTACATGCCATAAAAGTGACACTTCTTGGGCCAACAGGTAGTGTGAGGTTAAGGAATTGGATCCCACAGGGCTGAATGTGCAGTTCAAGTCCTGGGCCCAGTGGCTTGAAAAATCACGCTGGGCATGTATATGTGCCCAGGATGCTGAGAGGAGAATGGAGAAGAGATTGCAGTGAGCCTAAGAGATTCATTTTTCAAGAATAGCTAAACAAAAGTTGCCTGACCAGCTTGCAGATGTGACAACCTGCAAAAGTACACATTCCCAAAAAAATCCCTGAACAAAGAAAATTCAGAAACAACATGTCATCCTTGAGAAAGTACTTCTCTTTTTTTTGGAGAGGTTTTTGCTATAGGGTGCGTGCGCTCACCAGAGAGAGAGAGAGAGACAGAGAGACAGAAAGTGAGAAATCCCCCCCCCGGAGGATGGCCACGCCGCAATCCCTTCTCCTCCATCTTCCTCTTGGGATCTTGGGCACGCACGCACACACACCCGGCGTGAGTTTAAGCCACCGGGTCCAGGACTCGAACCGCGGTCGACTACGTGGGAGTCCAGCGACATAGCCATTACGCTAACTGCTGGTCCCGAAAAATGACTTTTCAAGATGGTGGCTTGTTCCTTCTTATTTCCTGATTCTTCTCTCTCCTCACTATATGTAGCAGGTCTTTCTCATGGTCTTGTCCTGAGTATATACCTTTCTGCCAGATAAGAGAAGGAAGAGGACGATAAATGCCTTACAATGGAACAATGAAACTGAGGTGACATCCAGGAAGATTGTACACTCCGTAGTACAATGAGAAACTGGGGCGAAGGACTTACATGCTAGGGAATCAATTTACAATTTGCTTGTTGTAACTATTTTCAGTGTGCTGGCTCATCTGACATCTAACCTTGCAAAATTGCTGTTAAAGTCTCACTTCACCATACCTTGCTTCTCTGTGTCCATTCTTTGGCATTGGATGGTACGTTTCCCACAGAGGCCATCCTCCCTGAGAGGTGATTTCTCCTTTTCCCTCTCTATCTCTGGAAAGCCCATGGTGCCCTATAGTAAAAACTTAAACAAAAAAAAAGCATCATCTCTTTCTGCCAAATAAGTGCCCCAGACTTTTCTGATTGGCTGACCTTAGGGCATAAGCTCACAGTTGATCTAACTGGCTAGGCCTGGGAATGCACAGTACTATTTGTATTTACATATCCAGCTCTAATCTGATCACTGTGGCCAGAAGGACATAATAGTTCTTATTGGTTTAAATCAGTCTGGGGCAGCACATAGAACTCCTTGCAGACACACCTACTCAACCCAGCCAGTAGCTGCTACACACTGAGGGAAGAGCAGAATGGAAGCAACTACAATGAACATTATAAACAAGTCTCAGTGGGGCTTTGCTTCTCTTACAGTTTTTATTTATGTTGGTCTTTCTTTACAGGTATAAACTCCTTGATGGTAGGGCTGTGTTATACTCTGTTCATCTTTCTGTTCTTCCAAAGCTCTTAGCCCTTTGGCATTCACTTAATGTCTATTAAACAATGTTAAACTGTACAGAAGTGTAAATCAAAACCTAAGGAGAATATACTAAGCAAGAACAGCCAAGATCACAGTTTATGGCAGGTCAGAATTACAACCTATTCTATAGACACTAATCATTCAGTCCTTTATTCATCAAATAGGAGGCTATTTGTCAATCATTTATCAATCATTACAGTGTAATAGGTTTAAAATTTTTATCCTTGCTATGTATATAATAATCATACAAACAACTACATAATTAACATAGAAGTTTAGTGTACTATGAGATCATAAAAGAGGGATTTGAATTAAAATGGGGATGTGCTAGAAGTCTGCTCAAGGGTGCAAAGCTCTGCAAGGCTGACCCACAAGATTCTGGGTGGGTTCACAAATGGAGAGTTCCCTGAGCCCAGGCGCAGGTGTGTACCCAAGATCCAGAGTTGACTGAAGCTGATCATAGACCCTGTTGAGGGTGCTGTTCACTCTGTGTCCTTAGCTCATGAAAGAAATAAAACAAACAAATCGGGGATGTAGATAAGGAAAGGTCGTTCTGAAGAAGTGGTACCTAAAGTGAGGCCTGAAGGATGAACAGGAGTTTGGCAGGTAAAGGAGACTCAGAAATTATTTTGGCCCAAAGATCAACATTTGGCGGTTTTAAAACGGGACAGAGGAGAGGTCTCATGAGGACCTGGGAGAAATGAAGTGTTGGAGTGCCGAAGAGGCAGTAGGTAGGCGCCTGATTAAACAGGGCCTTGTTAGTTATATTAAATGTCTTAAAGTCCTTTCTCGGATGGGTTCATCCATTTCTTCTTCCAGGAAATCTGAACCCTTGACTCGGTCATCATTGTCTGACCAGCAGGACTCAGCGTCTTCTCCCATCCTGCATCAGCACAGTAGGGATGCTTCAAGCTTCCTCCTTACACTCTGCCTTCATTCCTTCTCAGCTATCAGATTTCCCTCACCCCAAGACTTTTCATCAGGGCCCTTCTAAGCGCTCTTATTTCACTCCCTCCCAAGCCCCACCCGCAAACTCCACTCCGCAGTCCATGACATTCAGAAGCCCTTCAAAGTCAGAACGAATCAGCCAGGTTAGTAGTTAGAGGATATTAGCAACTCAAAAAGGTCTCCTCCATCCTGCACCCCGAGATGGGAACAGTAGCTTACCCAACACCCACATTTAGGTTCTGCCACAACAACTCAGAGGGGTCATTTTATTGGCGGCTGCTCTTCCGTCCACAGCCACCGTCTGCGGGGTGCCGTGAGGATCTTCCCGAATGTTCCTGTCACGAGTCCCGGCCCCCTCTTCCTCTCCGCCGCTTCTCGAGGCCAGGCCC